AAATGGGAGTTAAAAGTTTTATGGGTTTGAATTTGTTATTGGCTATAAAATCATCAATAATTGATATGGTGTTAGGCAGCCTATTTCATTTGGCAGACATACATTTTCAACCCAAATGCATGTCATTCTTTAGAAAAACATGAAATAATTGTAACTCAGTTTGAAAAGTACTACATTATACTGTATAAGTATAATTTTTTTGGGTCAAGTACGATGGTTTGACCTGCATAAGAGATGCATATGTGAATCATCAAATTTCTGAATGTGCTCATTCTCATTCTATTCTTGTGTAGATTTACAATGTTCAATGTATTTGTGTTTGCACTGGTAATGTAACACCTAGTTTTCCAATGCGAGTGCATTATCGTATTTACCTTGAAAATTTGAATGGAGGTATTTCTCTCTATGCAGTTTTCAATTTCCATGCCAAATGACATGATACAAAAGATATAATATCCTGTTCTCATATATAATTAGAGTGAGAGTGAGGGTTGCATTCAAAACAAAAATACCTAGGAAATAGGAAAAGATCATATTTTTACACTTTACCTTAATTCCATACCAAAACCTAAAATGCATATAGTTTCAGACAGAGGGAGTAGTTATGTTCCGCGGGAAGAGAGAAAATGATAATGGATAACAAGTATTAACCATTGTCAAGTTATTTATTTGTTTAATTTTTTTCTCTCTTAATTGGTCAGTTTTGTTTGTGACTGTTTATATTGCAACACTGAAATGTCTGAGACTTGATCACTTGATTGCATCCAGGAGGTCAACATCACTAAACCCCTTTATTGCTGACCGAAAGAGAGAAATCTAATTATACGTGGAAGAAATTACGAGACTGCCCATAAACTATCCATTCCATTCTCTTTCATTATTACTGTGATTCTACAATGTATATATATACATAGGAAGATACTATCCATCACCTTTTTATCCCATAATTTTTTTTTACTTATCCATTTTTCTTTTTTTCCTTCTGTATCATGAAGGTACTGGTGCTCATTTGGGCACGAAAACTATGGAGAAGGTGGAGTTATATTGCCAAGCAGAAGGTATCGGCTAAACACTCGAAACCGTGCAGCCAGGCCTCAATCCATGCGTGGCTGCACGTGCCATTTTGTCGTGAAGCGGCTCTATGCCCGCCCGTCCCTTGCCCTCCTCATATACAACGAGAGGCGCCACGTCAACAAAGCAGGTTTCATTTGCCACGGGCCCCTTGACAGGGACGCTATAGGGCCAGGGGCCAAGAAGGTTCCGTACATTTGCAATGAGATTCAACAGCAGACCATATCGTTGATATACCTCGGGATTCCCGAGGAGAATGTTCTAGAAAAACACATTGAAGGAATCCAATGGCCGAAAGCCTCGCCACTCGGTACGTGCAGAAATTGGGCACAATCATAAAACACTCGACTCATGAGCTGGATCTTGACGACCAGGCCAGCATCCGGCTATGGGTCGAACAGAACAAAAAGTCTGTTTTCTTCTATCGGGACTCAACTGAAAACGAGCCTTTTGTTTTGGGGATACAGACGGAGTGGCAGTTGCACCAGATGGTCCGTTTTGGCCACCGGAATATGATAGCAGCTGATTCGACATTGGGTATTAAGCGACTGAAGGTAATCTGTGCTATGCGATGTCTTTTTATTTGATGAAGTATGTAACCACTAAAGAAATAGAAAACTGTAGTTTTAAAAATTTGATTAATGGCGAAATGCAGTATCCGTTGTGCACGCTTCTTGTGTTCGACTCGAGGCAGCATGCACTCCCTGTTGCCTGGATCATTACTCGTAGTGTTGCAAAGGCAGATGTAGTCAGCTGGATGACAGCTCTTCTTGAACGAGTTTGCTCGGTTGACTCCGGGTGGAAAGTCAATGGGTTTTTAATCGACGATGCTGCCATTGAGATTGACCCAATAAGGCATTTATGTTTGCACGGTGTCTAAATATTTAGATCTTTGAAAATTTTTATTCTAATTATTCTACCTTTTTACTGATTGGAGTGGGGACTTATTTTTCAGGGAGATATTTTCCTGCCCTGTGCTGTTCTCCCTCTGGCGTGTCCGAAGGTCATGGCTGAGGCACATTGTTAAGAAATGTACTAACATCGAAGTTCAAAGGGAGATGTTTAAACGTTTGGGTCAAATCGTGTATGGCATTTGGGGTGGAATGGATATTGCACTCGCTCTAGACGAGTTCTCGCTTGATTTTGTAGATCAGATTTCCTTTATGCAATATTTTAAAGATGCTTGGTTGCCAAAGCTAGGTCAGTATACAATTAATCTATTTAAATGCACTTATGTTCCCAATGCATTAGACTTTTTTTTTTTCATTTCTCTATCCAATTTTGCAGAGATGTGGCTAACTTCAATGAAGACCCTCCCGCTTGCCAGCCTGGAAGCATCTGGCGCGATCGAAGCCTATCACGTGAAGCTGAAAGCTAAGTTATACGATGAAGATGACACACAGCTTGATTCTCTCCAGCGGGTCGACTGGTTGGTCCACAAACTGACGACCGAGCTCCACTCGAGCTACTGGCTTGACCGCTATGCAGATGAAAGCGACTCATTCCTGCACGCGAAGGAAGAATATGTCGGCTCTACGTCTTGGCATCGGGCCCTTCAAATCCCAGATGGCAGCGTCTCATTGGACGATAAAGACCGACTTTTCGCTAAAGTTGTCAGCCAGAAAGACAGCAGCTTGGCGCGTGTGGTTTGGAATCCTGGTTCGGAATTTGCCCACTGTGACTGTGAGTGGTCAATGAAAGGAAACCTGTGCAAGCATATGATTAAGGTCAACATGGTGTGTGAAAATCTGCAGTGCTATGGGCCCATGATGTCTTATCGGTCCTTTATGAATATTTTGATGGATCTCTGGAGGAAACCGATGGATGATTCGGTTGAGTTGGACATTTCAGCTGCCTGGACGTGCCGAATGCTCGGGCAGATTGGGAATTTTGTGCGTCTGAATGATTCGGATGATATTGGACTCGTTGTGAATGACATGCCGTTGAAATGGGCTGATAAGAAGTCCAGGATGTCATCTTTCAGCAGGGGTTTGTCGAGCCTTGCCCATCCCTCGGAGAAAAGACCGGAGAAATTTGCTGCACGCAGAAGGAGTAGGAAGAGGAAGAGAATTTCTCGACTCTGATCATTTTTATTTATTTATTATTATTATTATTATTTTTTTTTTTTTGTTTGTGTGTGCGTGTATATACAAGGACTTTTTTAGTTAGAGAATTCTTTAGTATCAGGTGAGGGCTAGTTTTCGGATGTTTATTGTGCTTGGTTTTTGTATGTCGGGATCCAACACTGATTGTCAATAAATTGAGGTAGACCATGTATTTTTGTCATGAACTTACCTTTTTTGTTTTGCAGTCACCAAAGAAGCATTAAGCTCTGGCTTGAAGCTGAAGTGGGAGACCAGCTTCATTGGTAAAGGTAGCTATTTAACTACAAAAGATTTTGCAACGATGTTAATGAGCATGAAACGTACGCATACTATCTTCTGATCGAACAAGGATTTGAGGTAACAATGTCTATACTTTCTGAAAATATCTTTGTCAAAATGTTCGGATCGAACATGGGTTTTGAGGTAACAATGTTTACACACTTAGACTTTCTGAAAATATCCTTGTCAAATGTCGGCACGTGTAGTGAGCCTCAGAAGTATAACGCTAATGGCATTCTTGGTAATAATGTTATACAGTTCCTGGCCTAGCTTACAAAAAAATGCATATATGTGTGATCAGCTACTTTCACTGAGCGATGGTATTTTCTTTCTCTTGATCTCTTTAAGCTCCCTTTCGCCTATTTTCTTTCCCTCTTGATGTGAAATCTAGTTGGACACTCGACCTTAGAACACTTCAATGCTAAAGGCATTGCTCGATCATAAGGAACTTGTCTCCACTCCCAAAAACTTGACCAAATTCAAATCCACTGACAAGTAGTCTTCTCCCGCCCAAGTTCACATTTAGTGTTAAAGAATCTCAAAATCCCTTTCATCTATAGTTTTATGCCAAACAAACATTTCACTATGTAGAGATTTAATGAAAAATTATTTTTCATCATATATCTGGGTGGTCAACTTCTTCTCATGGTCTAAGATCATGGCTTTAGCAAGACATTCGTCCAATCCATGTTAATGCTTGTTGGTATGAACGTCTGAT